CGAACTACCTAGTTCGTGCCGCGTGTAGCCGCGCGGCACGGGGTTCGAACGAGCAGGGATTTAAAATTGGCGGCGCCCCGCTTATGCAAATGAAGCCCGGGAAATTCAAATCCCGGGCTTCATTTGCAAGTGCGGTATGCCTACATTACCCCGCTAGTTCGAACTAGGAGGGTAGTGTAGACATACCCTAAGGGAAGTCAAAGGAAGAGTGTTCTTCCTTCAACTTCTTGCTGTGTAAACCACGCCAACAGTCGAGTTAAGGTCTTTGAATTTAGCTATGTAATTAACATAGCTGAACTTGTATATCTTAACTCGAACTTAAGCCCGCAGTGTAGACTTTAAGGTGCCTCAGGACTCCTCGTTATTTCTCTAGCAACTCACACAGGAAATATAGTTTGAAATGGAAAACTGCACATGTACAATTGCAAAAGAACAGAGTTGCACCACAAAAATCCCTTCTTTACATGCTTGGCAGCAAGGCCGGCAGGCCTAAAGTACCTGCTAAAATAGCAACTCTGGAAATATTTTTAGCATTGCTTCTGTGCAGCTGAACTGAAGCTGCATTTTGGACTTGGAATTACGAATACCAGGAATTGGTGGATGAAGAGACTCCGTAAGAGCATGAGTGAGCAAGTCTGTCAGCAAGGAGCCTCATTTACCACAGAGACTGATGCTGCTGGCACTGATGGACCACAACAGCAAATGGAAATGACATCCCCATTCATCCTTAAAGTGCCACTAAGCCCCCAGGGGCTCCAGAGAAACGTGCCCTGGAGATCACTGCCTTTCAGCAAGAATGAAAGGTCTGCTCTGGCTCCCAGACTGAAATCAATTCTGAAAGACTCCGATTTAGTCCAAACAGAATTCAGATGGTATGAATCACACACAGTCCCGACACATACCATACAAAGGGGGTTTGATGGTGCACAGCCAGCCACTTATACAGCAGTACACACTGAAGAATGGGTCAGTCTGAGAGACTTAATAAAGGGAAGAGCATTTTAAAGAGAAGTTCTTTTTGCTTTTCATCAACTGCAATGCACTTTTTGGACCAAACTCTGTCTGTGATGCACCCACCAAGCTTAGTGAGAGCAAGGGGTTACATCAAAGGGAAGAATTTAGAAGACGGGGCTTGTTTTTCTCTTTGCTGGACTTGTTCTTTGCAATTTTATCCCCCCATGTCTTGTGCAGCTTAAAAGCCCATTCACTCTCTTGACACAGGCAATATTGATGGGGGAAAACACATTTCCATTATTCTCTGGGGTGGCGATTTGAGAGAGAGCCTTGCCAAGTGCTAGACCGAGTGTGGGGAGAACTGCGGTTGATTCCATGCTCTGCCCACAACTGTGTCTGACTTTCAGCCAAAAATCTCTCCTTTTCATCTTGGTTTATGGGAGTAATGACGTTGCCCCTCCTCTGTAAAGTACTCCAAGATCTGTGGATAAACAGTGCTATATAAGAGAGCTCAATATATTAAGACAGGTCTCAGTGAATTTTTCCAAACCTTGATGTTTGAAGCTTAACCACTGGCTCAACTTTTAAAAATAATTAATCCAATTCTGTTCTTAAGTGACCAGCTGTGCTGGCTTCTCCTCTTTTCTCATTTCAGAGGCCTGGTACCAGTGTAAAGTCACTGAAAGGAATACTCCGAATGAATGATTGAGGTTTACAATGCATCATTCACATGGGCGGAGGGCAATAATTTTACAGGAATTGTTCTAATCTCCCCCAAAATGCCACTAAAATTCTGCTGTGAATAAGGAAATGTTGAACAGAGCCCAACAATACTATACAATAGGAAGTGAAAAATTCCAGAGGGAACTTCGGAAGGCAGAATATAAGCATCCCAATTAGATGAAGACAGTGCCACCAATAACTCACAGGAGAGTGGTATGGGAGCTTCAACTGCAAAGAGGTCATCTAGCTTTAAAACTCTTCTGAAAAATTGTTATCAGGAGTCTAGCGCAAAGGGAGCCAGTTTAAAAACCAGCAACAGCCCCTGCCTGAGGGGTGGGTGTCTGAGCTCCTGGGCTCAGCGCAAGCTGGAACTGAGACAGGCTGCCTGCTCGCCTGGTCCTTAATACACACACTTTAAATGCAAAGCCATAGCAGGGGTAAGTCCCAGACCCAGCGCAAGCTGGAACTGAGACAGGCTGCCTGCTCGCCTGGTCCTTAATACACACACTTTAAATGCAAAGCCATAGCAGGGGTAAGTCCCAGACCCAGCGCAAGCTGGAACTGAGCCAGGCTGCTGGCCAGCCTGTTAAAATATGTAATGGTGGGGCAGAGAGGGGGGAAAGTGTGTAGTTTATAGCGTTAACTGATAAGCTTTTGCTTATCCGTCAATCGACTACACTATTACATCCCTATCATGTTCAGAATTCCGCTTTTTACTATAGTTTCAACCAGTTTGCCCAGTAATTCAATCTGGGACAGTTTTGTCAGATTTGTCACCTAAAAAGAATGGCTCAGGTTTGGGAATCTTCCTCATATCCTTAGACATGAAGACTGATACAAAGAATTCATTTAGTTTATCCACAATTGCCTTATTGCCCAGGAGTGCTCCTTTAGCATATTAATCATCCATGGCCCCACTGGTTGTTTAGCAGGCTTCTTGCTTATGATATATTTGGGATACAGATAGTCTGAGTCTCTTTTATGGTATTTTAAAAAGTTTCCCTGCAGTTTGCAGGCATTTTATTGTTCCTTTTAATTTCTATTTTAAAATCCTCCTCATTTTTGTGTAGTTCCCCTTTTGGAAGATAAATGCTGCGGTTTCTTTGGGATTTTCCTTCCCACAAGTATGATATGTTTAATTATGTTGTGGTTATTACTACAGAGCAGCTCAGCTGTATTCGCCTTACTGATCAGATCCTGTGTGCCACTTAAGACTAAATCAATAATTGCTTCTTACCTTTTTCATTCCAGGATTAGCTGCTCCAAGAACAGCTCCAAAATAAAGCTGCAGATAGTGTATAACACACTACAGTGTCATGAATTCATGGAGCCAGCTCTGCTACTATATATAATCACCAGCCCTGCAATAGTGTAACAGACTTCGGTTTTTAAAGAAACCGCAGCACTCCCAAATAATTAATCATTGCTTGCTTTGAAAATTGCTTGACATGCCAATCTCACATCATTTCGTCAGCATATACATTTTCTCAAACTTCAAAGATCCAAATAAATGGAAATAGAAATGCAGATTTTTTTTGGATGGTTCATTGTTTGCTCAGCGATTGACAGGGCCAGTGTTCATTATCTAATCCATCTAATCCATCCATGCAGTGGAGGATAATCACAGACAGAAATTGATTATATTGGCCAGGTGGGGGGGAGACAGCCAAAATTAGGGCGTGCCGATGCTTACAGTTAGATCAACACTGCTGTGATCGATGCAGCAGTGTTGATTTAGTGGATCTAGTGGAGACCTGATAAGTTGATGGCAGAGTGCTCTCCCATCAACTCCTGAATTCCTATACAAGAGTAAGGGAAGTCCACAGGAGAGTGTTTCCTGTCGACACAACATGGTGCAGACACCGCTGTAAGTCAATCTAAGCTACGTCGACTCTTCTTATGTTACTTACTAACTAAAGTAGCATAACTTAGGTCACCTTACAGCCATAACGTAAACCAGCCTTGTTCACAGTTTCAGCCCTTTCTGACCCTGTGGTGACTGCTGCTGCAATGGATGGTCCCTTCCCAAACACCCCCACTAGGGCCTCTAGGTCCACCTAGTTTCCACAAGCCCTACAGCCCTGCTCCAGCTGTCCATATGGTGATAAGGCCAATCTGGTGTTACAGGGAGCATGACACCTGGAGCCACTGCCACTCATCTCTCTCCTGACTGGTACTAGTCCAGCCTTGTCTGGAAAGCTGGAATTGTGAGAGGGACCGGATGCTCCCCATCCACCAGTCAGAGGAAAGTATGTCTGAGACAGAAAAGTACTGAAGGAGTCCCTCATTAAAAACTTGGTAGCACATCTCTGAAACTACTCTCTAATATATAGCATCTACACTCCAGAGCTCCCTCAAGCACGCCCAGAAAAGCTGTTCCTGCATTTTTAAAGGGATCACAGAGGGAGTGAATCTTAGGTACCATCTGGATAGTTCACGTGTGGTCTTGCTTACCAGCAGCCAAATGGGAAAAGGCACCTTGCTAAGGATCTGTGAGCTATCGGAAGTGACAGACTGAACACCAGCACACCACAGGATAGAGTACAACCAGGGCTCGTTCACAACGTAAAGATTAACGCTCAGGTTCGCGGCGGTGTATTCCCTGCCGAGAAAAACAACAGAGCGGTAGGTTAGTATCTCTAGATGTACAGTGTACAGAGGACACAAAACGCCATGCCCTATGCATCGGTGATTCCCATGAAATTAACGGTATTCCCTGCCGAGAAAAACAACAGAGAGGTAGGTTAGTATCTCTAGATGTAAGGTGTACAGAGGACACAAAACGCTATGCCCTATGCATCAGTGATTCCCATGAAATTAACACAAAGGGAGATGAGAGCCATCTGACAGATAGCATGCTCTTTAATAGTGGCCAGATTGGGAATGATGAAGTAGGTCATTTGGAAACACAAGACCACATCAAGTCTTGCCTGGCCTATTGAGCCACTATTTTTACTTTAAAGCTTTATTTGCTCACCAGAGCAGATTCTGGCTTAGATATACATGGCTTTGTTCTGGCTTAGTTCTCTCACCCTACATGGTAGCATGCTGGACACATTTTTTAAAAGACCTATCTAATTAGGGTGATGTAAAAATAACAGCCGCATAGACACCCATAAAACTGAAAGAGCAATTCACTTAAACAAACTAGTGATCGATGTAAGAGTCAATCATACTCTCATTCTGCCCAGTGCCTCTCGTTTGCTAACAAAACAGGTCTCAAGCCTTCTGAATGCTTGCATCCATTTCTCAAGGGGCTGCCTCCAGAAGCCAGAACACAAGGCCGAGAGGGAAGAACTCTCGAGTTGCAATGAGGATATTGATCCTGTCTGTGGCCCTGGGTTTCCCATCTGTAATACAGAAATGTCACTTGTGCCTCCAGGAAGGACTGTGATGATTTATTAATACTTGACGAATGCTCTGAAGAGAGACGCTATCTAAAATTCTGGGGGTAGCACAAGGCTGTTAATACAGCCACATTGCACTGAATGCAAGGGGGAAGTGAAGCACTCTTGAAAGCGATGCTGGTCGTGCTGCACAGCACATGCAGACACTAGGGGTACGTCTAGACTTGGAGGGGGGGGATTTTGGGATACCATGTCCAGGGAACTCATTTGCTCTTCTGCTTTTTTTTTTTTTTTTCCTTGCGGAACAGCAGACGGGTTCTTTCAGAAGCCCTGTCTTCCTCATTCCACGAAGAAGGAGGGATCTTCCAATTGAGGGTTTTCCCCCAAAATTTGGCCCACTATAGATGGGCCAAATTTCACAAAAGCCTCTTCTGAAAAAAAAAAAAAGGCAGAAAAAGGTTTGCAAATTGCAGAGTGCATTTTGTGTATCTTTTTCTGCAAAAATGTTGTAGTCTAGACATACCCTAGGGCATTTATTTTTGGGTAAAGGATGACAGTCCACCAGGGTTAGTCAATCTGTGCGGCCGGTAGCTTCCCAGTCTGTGGCAATGTCCGTTTGAACCCTGTTGTGGCAGGTTTGATTCTGAAGGCTGCCGGGTACACAGAATATTCCATCAAAGAATTGCCAGGGGACATCCTTTCACCAAAATTCTCCAAGAGATGGGCAATGAATGGAAAGGGTGGGTGAGGCTTTGTTCTGTACAGCACACCAGAGGGTAACATGCAACAACAAGATTGCTCCTTGTAGCACCTGGGCAGAACTAGTTACTTTAGCTGTGTAACTTATGCAACGTGGCCTGGTTTAGTTTTCAGC